GTCAGTGGCGTACGATCCCGGCTTCAACTGTCTTACCGTGTTCTGGTATACGCCACTTGCCACTACACCACTTCCGTCTGGAAATTAGAAAATACATTCCGCCATAGCCACTCAAAGCGTTTCACAATGTTTGCAGTTTCCAATTGAAGATTGCCCGGCGCAAGGAACACATTGAAGAAAATTGCATGTTTTTTAATTTTTTTTCGAAGTTTTCACTTCCCCGGGAAGACACCCTAGGACCAATTTCGTTTGAGTATGATAAAGTGCGACTTACTGCGTACTTTGGTTACGACTCCAATCAACTTGTCAAGCTTCATATTTTATGTTCAAACTGGGTCTCATCTATAAATTCGAGAACTTTCTTTTATTTACCAACATAATGTCTTCAAAGGTGATTTCTGCTGTGTGTTTCTAGATGGTTGTTTATGAATCCAAGCCGAATCTATGGAGAGATGTTGAGTTCTGTGTATAACTCACACAAAAAGAATTGTTGGGCTATTGCTATCGGAAAGCACAACGGGCGTCTAATTGACAGCGTTTCCTATAGGGAAGAGGTGAAACAGATCCCTTTTTTTGACCCTCCTTTAGCAGCTGCATCAGCCTACTTTTCTTTATATTCAGCTTTATTAGAGAGTATATACTTGGTTCTATGTTTACCGTGTCGCTTATGGGTTAAAACCTAAACCTCTGTCTTGGTTCCTATGAGCAGTTGATGTGGATGCATGCGGTCGAGCACATGGGGCATAAGCGCAAAAACGTTTTGTTGTGGCTGTGTCACGGTCGATTGTGATTGGAGCGCGGTCATTGTGCGCAAGCCATTATTGGATGGCGTGAAACTTCACATAAATGTGACTAACTCCTATTTAATTCACTAAAGCAGAGCAAAACTTTATTATATAAGGTTTCTTCGTAACGGTCAAGTTTGCAACTCCAAGTGGGCATTGAAAATTACTATTTCATCAGATATTCCAATCCGATTCGGCTTCGTAGAACTTTGTGTCACACTCGAGTCAGTCTTTATGTCGTGGAAATTTTAGCCAATGCTTCGAACTCTCCATGAACACTAATCTCTCCGCAACATTCCGATTAATGGTATAGGTGTCGTAGTAATAGTTCCCTGGAACCATGCGACACACTCCCAGCCCAACAACCCCCCCCCTAATCGCTAAAATTGTCGGGCGTGAAAGTGGGAAAATGTATCTGCTGAGCCAGAAGATTTTATGCAACCTGTGACCCCTGCTCACCAGTGGAAGACGAACTTTGTCGAGGAAGTCATCGACCATTGAGTCACATGTCTCACAAAGGCGAACCACAATCGAGGATTCGTCGACGGAGTGTCGTAGATGGGGACACTCCGCGACATGGGGGAAAATGATGTAATGGGTCAACGTGCCAATACGACAAGTGCTAATGAATGACCACCATCACCATCAAATTCAGGAGATTGCACCATGGACTTCGTTAGCGGGGATAAAGGGGGGGATGTTATGCCACGGGCCATTTCCTTTTCGCGACAAACACTTGTTTCACTGCACATGAATTGATTCGTTATTACGCGCTAACGCTGACGTATGATTTTTAAGGATGGTTCTGATCTCAAGATCAGTGCTCCTGATTTGGTCATGATGTGAGTTTACTGCTCCAGCGAGTAGACTTTCCAACCTTCTTCTGTCCTTGTTGACGGCCATAACGACATTCACGACGACGTTGTGTTGTGGAGCAGCATGCGAACGGTTTCACTGCAGTTCAGGTAAACTCTTTAAAGAATCGTGATTGACTGAACATGATTTTCTTCACGAAACTTCAGAAGGTCGTATAACTTCGTATAATGTATTTAGAGCAACCCCCCCCCCCCCCCCCCCCCCCCCCCCCCCCCCATCTTAGTGAATTTGTCTATAAAATGCTTCACTGCGGTTTTAAAGAATTCAAGGTAAAGTTGTCACCTGATCTTAGAGTTAAATACTACAGAAATAGTCATGTAGCGGTGTCTTGGGGGCAGGATGAAAATCGTGTTGAAGATGTGGTCGCAAGAGTACGACCCCTCCCCTGAAATCGAGGTCTTGGCACACGACCCCCCAAAACACAGCATGACGCAACAGCCAAGTGGTATCGATCAACGGCCGATTCAACGGCAGCTGCGGCGCGATTTGTCCCTGGATCAGATTTGCTGAATCCTGAAAAAAAACTGTCGAAATCTACACCCTCGATGAAAAGGTTCCATTCCTCCATTTCCCAACCTTTTGAACAGCACGCGGTAGGGTTAGATAGAGCTAGATTTGATACTATCAGGCAGTATTGGAATTGCTATGAAAGCCTTCCATTCGAAGAGATATAGTCTCTCAAAATCCGTCGAGGCAGCGTCGAGGATGCTGAAATTTTCATGCGAGTTTTTGCCACTTAAAAGGCAATATCTCTCGTAATTTCGCAGATCGTGGGAAAAACGAAGACAGTTTGAAAGGAGGAAGGATTCCGCTTCCCAACAGTATGTTTACCTTCCTTCTACATTGTTAAGTTGAGGATATGTTTGCGTCGAAGATCTATCGAAGATGATTTTCGGCCACTCAAAAAGTCGCTCCCTCCTTCGCCATTGCAAGTGTGACTCGTTGGCAACGCTCCGGATGTGTCTTGTCTGTCTATTCTCCCAACATAAGCAATAAAAATGGGCAGTCGTCATCATCGGATTATGTTTGGATGTGGGCTTTGCATCCGACCTTCACTCGAAGTTGCAGAATCGATTGAAAGGTGTTATATGATCACGACCAGTTGACAGGAGCTGCATTGTAGTAAACCACTCTGTAACTAAGAGAACGTTCATTTGCCCAGAGCTTTTCTTCACGGTTATCGTTTCGTCAGCGGTCCCTAACAACAGTGTCATTCTCAACGAGGTATTAAGGGAGAAGGAGCGGGCGGTAGGCGGAGGAGGTGCCTTTGCAGCGCGTGTGCACATGTGGCCGTTCCTTGCGGGAGATGCACTTTCATTCTTTGTACTGCTTTCAAATACGCCCTTCTCATGAAGGTGGAGGAATGGAGCGACTGAACCTGCAAAGAATATTTAATATCATGTTTTTTTTCATATCTTATTTTCTGCTGCGCTACACCCTACTCTATCTGCACCACGATGTCACTGACCCGCGAGTACAACCCCCCATGACCCAGTCCCAGTCTTTTGTCGAGGATTCTTCCACCGATATTCACCCTGCTTGGGTGTCGTATTTGTATCCATGTGTTGGTATAGAGGCGCCCATGGAGTTATTTGCGCTTATCGTTTCCGTGCTCTGATCCACATCTTCCGTTTAGAGTTTCTGGAGCAATTCTGAATTCCTTCACACTATATGAGGTAGTTGAAAACTTCTGAATGTCTCGAAATAACCTCCGTTGAAGATGGTTTCCGATGTTCTTTGTTAGATATTTTTCATAAATCTTTCGAATAGAAGCTCACATAAGTATGGTAACTCTAGTAGTACCGTAACAGAAATTTAGCAAGTCATACTTAGCTTAAGTTCGTTGCCAATCAAATTTTCATCCGCAATCGGTTGATTTATTGGAAACCATCACGGTCACGCTTAAAGATCCTCATCTTTTCAGACGTGTTCCCTCCAATCGGGATGCTTACCGTGCGATCAGGTTGCGGACGTTCAATTCGCCGATGCTCATGCATTCCGATGGCCGAATTCAATGTTCTGCATCACGAATGGTTCACTGCACCAGGGCTTATTCTTCCGGTCATGCCAACGATATGTGTATGCAGGTCTGCCATGTTCGGGCATAGGTCACGTCGATGAATTATTGCAGGATTTATTTATTTATTTTTCAGAAAATTTGACGACAATGGAAATAAATGTCAGCAATTTATCATTAGGTGCTTCAATCGAAAAAATAAGAAGTGGGTCCAGTTTTTTTTGTTATATCTGAGAGAGCTGAAAAGAAATTAGTAGTATGGATGTAGCAGCTATATCGGAAGAGCCAGGTTTTCAAAATTCAAGTAAAGTGGAGAGATATCGAATATTTTTACAATTTCCAGCTTCATAGGGACTTATGATAATTGTTTGAACGTTTTGCTCCTCAAATAGGACCACTAGCAATTAACTAATTACTATAAATAATTAGCCATAGAATGTTTGAAGGCTTTCTGGCGTACAGCGAAACGATCTTATAGGAGGGAGGGGTTGGGAGATCCCTAGCAGTGGAAGGACAGAAATAGTGTACCCCGCTAAACAGAGGACTCTGTACGTAACGAGAAAATTCCGAAACGAAATCCAACCAATAGAGTGGCGTCCACCAGCCTGCTTTCTTCCAAAGGGTGATGGGGGTGACCGTAGTGTGCTAATCAGTTTTCTTGACACACAGACACACTTTCAAGCATCCAGAGCTTCACCAACAAACTTCAAAAATGCAATGGATAGAATGGGAGCGGAATAGAAGACGTAATTTATTGAAACGGCAGAATTTTCAGAAATTTTCGGAATATCCCATAAAAAAATCGAATTCCCCAAAGAAAGAAAAAATCCAATTCCCCAAAGCGCGCTTCTTCTTCCACTTCTTGAGATTATAAATGGGTTGATTCCCATCGTGGGAAAAAGTACGGTTGACCTTGCCTAAGAACCACTGAGTTTAGTGGCTGTTTCTACGGCACTCGATTGATTCATATCGCAAGGCTGAACTGGGAGATGCTTATTAATTTTGAAATTATGCACTATTTCTTCCCACCCCACCTTCCTATACACTAGTACAGTGATTTTTCGCTATTTAGGTGCACGTGCTGTTTCAATCAGCGAGTGCCTGACTGCGACATTAAGGGTAGACGGCGAACCTGAATTTAGGTGAATACTATTCTGTTCTCACCTTGTTTTAGCCTACAATCAGTGAGTACTGAACAGATGTCGAATTGTGCTTGTTACAGCTCATCGAATACCAGTTGCGTTTGTCACCACAATCCAGCAGACTATCCCTATCATATATGCAAATCACTGAACATTCGCAACAGCCCCGCTCAAATCGAAGCTGCCCAAGCGCGACAAAACCCACAGTCGTCTGATGAGCGGCGTCAGGTATGATGTTAGACCTGTTCACGTGTTTACGGCTAGTTGAAATGGTAATTATGCACGACGGAGTTGATGAGTGGCAGGATTACACACGGACGTGAGGATTCTAAAGTTGGAAGAGGAGATGGTATTTACCCGTGGTAGGGGGTCGTAAGCTGATGTGTCAGCATTTGAATGCGGGAGTGGTATCTGTTATTCGAAACGTTGAAGAAGGTGGGTTGTTTTTTAGAACTCGTAGGTTATGGAACCATGATATTGAAATGTATGGAAAGGTCATCTCTTGTCGTCCTGTTGAGGATTGCGACATTTCCATAATATGTTGTTATTCACAACGGGGACTGATGAAAATAAGGGATTAGATGCAATGAAATAAAGTTGCACATATTTACAATAACTATAGGTCGCGGACGACTAAAAAAGAGGTTCCATGTTTTCATAATTTTTGTCTTCCCCGATGATTCTTGAAAATGCAAAATTTCATCGACAAAATCTTCGCGGATTACGTTCCATTGCGGACTTCTGGTCGTCTGAAGAGTCAATTTTGTGGTACATTCTGGAGAAAGTTAGGAACAGTGTAATAGTGAATCAGCACGTCATTTATACAATTTTCTCATTTGGTGTGGGTTTCGGGCTCAAATTATGTCACAGTCGCACGGGTGTCCCCCAAGAGGCCACGCGCGCGAAGGAAGAGACGCAGACGCGGCAAAGGACGAGTCGCAGCGCATACTGTAGCGGTTAGGCGTCAGGTTAAATAGAGTGTACCATACTACGTCTCATATCGCACAGCACGCGCTGCGACTCGTCCTTTGCGTCTGCGTCTCTTCCTTCGCCGCGCGTTGGGCCTCTTGGGGAGACCCGTCGCACTAATTCTTGAGATGCAGGTAGGGTGCATTTTCAAGTTGTAGCGGTATTGAGGTGTTCCTAATACTACATATTTAACTGAGATAGAAGCCAGTCTGGACTGAATTGAAATGAGACACCATCCGCTGTTGGCAAAATGTATTCAAGTTCAGAAAAGAGAAGGGGCATGGACAAGGGGAAATTACAAAATCTTTTTCAATAGAAATAAAATTTAAAATAAATAATAAGTTTCAGAAAATAAATTCGCGGGGAATTGCGCGATTTGATTAAAGTAGAGGTGCGAAATGGATCAGAAGTGAAGAGAAGGAAAAAGAATGACCAGCGACAGTGAAGATAGAGATTCTTTTTTCTCTTGGCTGTAGAGGGATCTTATGACAGACGGCGACCTAAGAAATGCTGAGCGCCCAGGAGAGAAGTAAAATGGGAGATTGAGCGGACCGCTGGATGGTATGTGGAACCGCACATGCGTTTCTACTTAACGCCTCCGTCTTCCGATTTTATGCGGAAAACGCTTTCTTCCGGAGCGCTCCACCTTCTTCGCGCTGGACTTCGCTCTAATGGCCTGATTGTGTCAAACGAGCGAATTATGAACCTATGTACCTCAGAACATTATGAACGATCTGGAGAATCTGCGGAAACATACGAGCCCTTCCCAATGTTAAGACTTGGTAACGCCAAATGTGCTTTTGAAAAAAAGAGGCAACATGGCCAGATGTAGGGGGGTACTTCGAAGGGCAACTCTTACCAGGGTGAATAACGGTCGAGGAATTCCTCGACCATCGCTCTCTGCTGTGCGAGAGTAGAGCCGATAGTGAATGTACGCGCGGAGAGCACAGACGGCTCGCGGGTGGCGAGAGTGAATATCCGCGCGCGAGAACGTAAAGGATCAGGCGAAAATCCTCGACGTGCCGTTGAGGAATCCTCAAGCAATATTCACCCTGCTTCCACCATGTCTTCTTTTTTCTATATTTTCTCCTGTTTTTGGTTTGAGAGGATGGGGTGGAGCGCAGGCGTGTATGCTTGAGGATTCCTCAACGGCACGTCGAGGATTTTTGCCTTTCCAGTTCTCGCGCGCGGATATTTCACTCTCGCCACCCGCGAGCCGTCTGTGCTCTCCGCGCGTACATTCACTATCGGCTCTACTCTCGCACAGCAGAGAGCGATTGTCGAGGAATTCCTCGACGGTTATCACCCTGGTAGAGAGATTTGGCCCGTTTCGAATTACGCCCCCTACATCTGGCGCATGTTGCCTCTTTTTTCAAAAGCATATTTGGCGTTAACCAAGTCTTAACATTGGGAATGGGCTCGTATGTTTCCGCAGATTCTCCAAATTGTTCATAATGTTTCTATAGGTAGGTTCATAAATTCGCTCGTTTGACACGATCAGGTCATTAGAGCGAAGCTCCAGCGCGGAAAAGGTGGAGCGCTCCGGAAGCGTTTTCCGCTAATCGGAAGACGGAGGCGTGGAAGTAGAAACGATTGGTTGCGGTTCAATTACCATCCAGCGGTCCGCTCATACTCCCATTTTATCTCTCCTGGGGCGCTCGCATTTTCTAGGTCGCGTATGTCATAAGATCCTCACAGCCAAGAGATAAAAAGAATATCTATCGTTCACTGTCGTGGTCATTCTTTTTCCTTCTCTTTCACTTTATCATTTCGCACTGACTTGAATCATCGGACGCAGTTACCTGCGAATTAGTTTTTTTGAAACTTTTATTATTTATTTTTATTTATTTTCCTAATTTGAAAAAAGATTTTGTAATTTTCCTATTGTCCATGCTCCCTTCTCTATTTTTCTGAACTTGAATACATTTTTGCCAACAGCGGATGGTGTCTCATTTCAATTCAGTAGTGGCTCTATCTCAGTTAAAATATGTAGGATTAGGAAACGTCAATTACCGCGGAGTAAACTTGAAATGACCTACTGCATCTCAAGAATGAGGTGCGAACGAGGGTGTCCCCAAGAGGCCCATCGCGCGGCGAAGGAAGAGACGCAGACGCGGCAAAGGACGAGTCGCAGCGTGCTGTGCGATATGAGACGTAGTATGGTACACTCTATTTAACCTGACGCCTAACCGCTACAGTATGCGCTGCGACTCGTCCTTTGCCGCGTCTGCGTCTCTTCCTTCGCGGCGTTGCCTCTGGGGGCACCCGTGACGAGCTGGTTATGACATAATTTAGAGCCGAAAAACAACACAATGAGAAAATTATAATAGCGTGCTGATTCCTATGACATGGTTACTTCTTCAGAAGTAGCCACAAGCGAATGTGGTGGACTCTTGAGAAGGGCAGAGTCGATGGCACGTTAGGTCGAGAAGATTTTGTCGACGTGAATTGATTTTCAAGAGGATCATCGTGGGGGAAGAGCAAAAATTATGGAAAACAGTGGAACTTTTTTTAGGTCGTCCGCGGACCTATAGTTATTGTAAATATGTGCAACTTTATTTTCATTGCATTAATCCCTTATTTTCATCAGTCCCCTTGTGAATAACATAATATTATTGGAAATGTCGCAATCCTCAACAGGACGACAAGATGACCTTTCCATACATTTCAATATCATGGTTCCATAACCTACGAGTTCTAAAAAACAAGTCCCACCTCTCAATCGGTTTCGATAAAGATACCACTACGTCATTCAATGCTGACAATTCAGCTTACGACCCCCTACCAGCGGGGTAAATACCATGCTCCCTTTTCAATTTAAGAATATAATCCAGCGCCGTGTGTATCCGTGCCTCATATTGAACCCGTTGCGTTGGCTAACTACCATTTCAACTAGCCGTAAACACGTGAACAGGTTTAACATCATACCTGACGCCGCTCATCAGACGACTGTGGGTTTTGTCGCGCTTGGGCAGCTTCGATTTGAGCGGGGCTGTTGCGAATGTTCAGTGATTTGCATATATGATAGGGATAGTCTGCTGGATTGTGGTGACAAACGCAACTGGTATTCGATGAGCTGTAACAAGCACAATTCGACATCTGTTCAGTACTCACTGATTGTAGGCTAAAACAAGGTGAGAACAGAATAGTATTCACCTAAATTCAGGTTCGCCGTTTCTACACGTTAAGTGGTCGCAGTAGTCACTCGGCTGATTGAAACAGCACGTGCACCTAAATAGCGAAAAATCACTGTACTAGTGTATAGGAAGGTGGGGTGGGAAGAAATAGTGCATAATTTCAAAATTTAAGTTGAAGAAGCTCCAGTTCAGCCTTGGATATGATCAATCGGAGTGCCGTAACGAAATCAGCAACTTAGAAGCTTCAGTGGTTCTTTGAGGCAAGGTCAACCGTACGTTTTTCCCATCGATGGGAACAACCACATTTTATAATCTCAAGAAGTGGAAGAAGAAGCGCGCTTTGGGGAATTGGATTTTTTTTTCTTTGGGGAATTGGATTTTTTTAAATTTTGGGATATTCCGAAAATTTCTGAAAATTCTGCCGTTTCAATAAATTACGTCTTCTATTCCGCTCCCATTCTATCCATTGCATTTTTGAAGTTTGTTGGTGAAGCTCTGGATGCTTGAAAGTGTGTCTGTGTGTCAAGAAGAACCTGATTAGGCGACACTACGGTCACCCCCATCACCCTTTGGAAGGAAAAGGGCGAGGGGCGTGGTGGGGACGCCACTCTATGTGGGTTGGATTTCGTTTCGGAATTTTCGTTTACGTAGAGGTACCCTGTTACGGGGTACACTTTTCTTGGTCCTTCTAGTGGCTAGGGGGTCATATTTCCCCCACCCCTCCCTCCTATAAGATCGATTTCGCTGTCGCCAAGAAAGCCTTCAAACATTCTATGGCTAATTATTTATAGTAATTAGTTAATTGCTAGTGGTCCTATTTGAGGAGCAAAACGTTCAAACAATTATCATAAGTCCCTATGAAGCTGGAAATTGTAAAAATATTCGATATCCCTCCACTTTACTTGAATTTTGAAAACCTGGCTCTTCCGATATAGCTGCTACATCCACACTACTAAATTTCTTTTCAGCTCTCTCAGATATAACAAAAAAACTGGACCCACTTCTTATTTTTTCGATTGAAGCACCTAATGATAAATTGCTGACATTTATTTCCATTGTCGTCAAATTTTCTGAAAAATAAATAAATAAATCCTGCAATAATTCATCGACGTGACCTATGCCCGAACATGACAGACCTGCATACACATATCGTTGGCATGACCGGAAGAATAAGCCCTGGTGCAGTGGCAACAGTTTGCGTGTAATTGCAGAACATTGAATTCCAATCGGGAAGGCATGAGCATGGCGAATTGAACGTAGCACTCTGACGAAGGTAAGGATCAACGATTCGTGGAGGGAACACGTCTGAAAAGATGAGGATCTTTAAGCGTGACCGTGATGGTTTCCAATAAATCAACCGATTGCGGATGAAATTTGATTGGCAACGAACTTAAGCTAAGTATGACTTGCTAAATTTCTGTTACAGTACTACTAGAGTTACCATACTTATGTGAGCTTCTATTCGAAAGATTTATGAAAAATATCTAACAAAGAACATCGGAAACCATCTTCAACGGAGGTTATTTCGAGACATTCAGAAGTTTTCAACTACCTCATATAGTGTGAAGGAATTCAGAATTGCTCCAGAAACTCTAAACGGAAGATGTGGATCAGAGCACGGGAATTCGATAAGCGCAAATAAACTCCAGTGGGAGCCTCTATACCACACATGGGGATCACAAATACGACACCCAAGCAGGGTGAATATCGGTCGAGGAAATCCTCGACAGGGGGGTCGTACTTGTCGGCTGGGTCATGGGGGGTCGTACTCTTGGGGTCAGTAACATCGTGGTGCAGATAGGAGAGAGGGTGTAGCGCAGCAGAAAACGAAGGATATGAGAAAAAAACATATAAAATATTCTTTGCAGGTTCAGTCGCTCCATTCCTCTACCTTTATGAGAAGGACGTATTTGAAAGCAGTACAAAGAATGAAAGTGCATCCCGCAAAGAACGGGCCACATGTGCACACGCGCTGCAAAGGCACCTCCTCTATCTATCGCCCGCTCCTTCTCCCTTAATACCTCGTTGAGAATGACACTGTTGTTAGGGACGCTGTCGCAAAAACGACAACCGTGAAGGAAAAGCCCTGGGCAAATGAAGCTGTTCCTCAGGTTGTAGGAGTTACGAAATGTGTTTACTACAATGCAGCTTCTGTCAACTGGTCATGATCATATAACACCTTTCAATCGATTCTGCAACTTCGAGTGAGGTCGGATGCATGGCCTATACCCAGACAAAATCGGATGATGACGATTGCCCCTTTTCTTATTGCTTATGTTGGAAGAATGTTCTAGACACATTTCGAGCGTTGCCAACGAATTACACTTGCAATGGTGAAGAAGGGAGCGGCTTTTTGAGTGGCCGAGAATCATCCTCGATAGATCCTCGACGCAAATATCTCCTCAACTAGAAATGTAGAAGGAAGCTAAACATACTGTTAGAAAGCGCAAACCTTCCGCTTTCCAAAACTGTCTTCGTTTTTTCAAGATCTTGCGAAATTAGAGAGATATTGCCTTTTAAGTGGCAAAAACTCGCATGAAAATTTCAGCATCCTCGACGCTCCCTCGACGGATTTTGAGAGACTATATCTCTTCGAATGGAAGGCTTTCATAGCAATTCAATACTGCCTGATAGTAGCAAATCTAGCTCTATCTAACCCTACCGCGTGCTGTTCAAAAGGTTGGGAAATGGAGGAATGGAACCTTTTCATCGAGGGTGTAGATTTCGACGGTTTTTTTTTTGGGATTTCAGCAAATCTGACCCAGGGACAAATCGCGCCGCAGCTGCCGTTGAATCGGCCGTTGATCGATACACTCGGCTGATTTTGCGTATGCTCTGTTTTAGGGGGTCGTGCCAAGACCTCGATTTCAGGGGAGGGGTCGTACTCTTGCGACCACGTCTTCAACACGATTTTCATCCTGCCCCCAAGACACCGCTACATGACTATTTCTGTAGTATTTAACTCTAAGATCAGGTGACAACTTTACCTTGAATTCTTTAAAACCGCAGTGAAGCATTTTATACACAAATTCACTAATATGTTGCTCTACCAAGATTCAATGAGTCAGTTGTTTTCTGTCTTCTGAAGTTTCGTGAAGAAAATCATGTTCAGTCAATCACGATTCTTAAAGAGTTTACCTGAACTGCAGTGAAACCGTTCGCATGCTGCTCCACAACACAACGTCGTCGTGAATGTCGTTATGGCCGTCAACAAGGACAGAAGAAGGTTGGAAAGTCTACTCGCTGGAGGCAGTAAACTCACATTCATGACACAATCAGGAGCATTGATCTGAGATCATGAAACACATCTGAAAAATGCATACGTCAGCGTTAGCGCTGTAATAACGGAATCAATTCAATGTGAACAGTGAACAGCAAGGTGTTTGTCGCGTCAAGGAAATGGCCGTGGCAGTAACCCCCCCCCCTTATCCCCGTCTAACGAAGGTCCAGGTGCAATCTCCTTGAATTTGATGGTGATGGTGTCATTCATTATGCAGCTTTGATGTCCCTAGTCACCGTCGAGTCGTCGGCAAGGGACGGGGGAGGGTAGGGGTCATGTGGATGTATGTGATTGCTGAAATAGCGAATTGCACATTTGACCCATTACATCATTTTCCCCCATGTCGCGGAGTGTCCCCATCTACGACACTCCGTCGACGAATCCTCGATTGTGGTTCGCCTTTGTGAGACATGGTCGAGGATTCCACAAAGTACAAGTACAAAGGACAAAGTGCCGTATCAGCACTGGTGGGAGGAAGGGGGTCACAGGTTGCATAAAATCTTCTGGCTCAGCAGATACATTTTCCCACTTTCACGCCCGACAATTTTAGCGATTAGGGGGGGGGGGTTGTTGGGCTGGGAGTGTGTCGCATGGTTCCAGGGAACTATACTACCGACACCTATACCATTAATCGGAATGTTGCGGAGAGATTAGTGTTCATGGAGAGTTCGAAGCATTGGCTAAAAATTTCCACGACATAAAGACTGACTCGAGTGTGACACAAAGTTCTACGAAGCCGAATCGGATTGGAATATCTGATGAAATAGTAATTTTCAATGCCCACTTGGAGTTGCAAACTTGACCGTTACGAAGAAACCTTATATAATAAAGTTTTGCTCTGCTTGAGTGAATTAAATAGGAGTTAGTCCACATTTATATGAAGTTTCACGCCATCCAATAATGGCTTGCGCACAATGACCGCGCTCAATCTACAATCGATTTGTGACAGCAGGGTCTTGGCAGGGTGAATATCGCTTGAGGATTCCTCAACGGCACGTCGAGGATTCTCTGCCCGATCAGAGACGATCTCTCGCGCGGACATTCACACTCGCCATGCCGTGCCGTCTGTGCTCTCCGCGCGGATGTTCACTCTCGGCACTACTCTCGCATGGTAGAGAGCTATGGTCGAGGATTTCCTCGACCGTTATTCACCCTGCTTGGCATCTATTTCTCTTCGCCATCTGCGTCTTCCAGCTCACAGGCCAGACACCAGACACTTCCGGCCCAAGACTTTTTGCCACAGGTAAGTGCTCACACACGCGTGTGTGGTACTGCTGGCTTCCCCCACCCCCTGAATTGGCCCGCCATTCCCTCCTGGCTCACCGCATTCTCAACTTACACTCGTCTCCGTCCCCGCCAAACAGCCTTAGATTCATTACAACCGTGACACAGCCACAACAAAACGTTTTTGCGCTTATGCCCCATGTGCTCGACCGCATGCATCCACATCAACTGCTCATAGGAACCAAGACAGAGGTTAGGTTTTAACCCATAAGCGACAAGGTAAACATAGAACCAAGTATATACTCTCTAATGAAGCTGAATATAAAGAAAAGTAGGCTGATGCAGCTGCTAAAGGAGGGGTCAAAAAAGAAGGGATCTGTTTCACCTCTTCCTATAGGAAAACTGTCAATTAGACGCCCGTTGTGCTTCCGATAGCAATAGCCACAATTTTCTTTTATGTGAGTTATACACAGAACTCAACATCTCTCCATAGATTCGGCTTGGATTCATAAACAACCATCTAGAAACACACAGCAGAAATCACCTTTGAAGACATTATGTTGGTAAATAAAAGAAAGTTCTCGAATTTATAGATGAGACCCAGTTTGAACATAAAATATGAAGCTTGACAAGTTGATTGGAGTCGTAACCAAAGTACGCAGTAAGTCGCACTTTATCATACTCAAACGAAATTGGTCCTAGGGTGTCTTCCCGGCGAAGTGAAAACTTCGAAAAAAAATTAAAAAATATGCAATTTTCTTCAATGTGTTCCTTGCGCCGCGCAATCTTCAATTGGAAACTGCAAACATTGTGAAACGCTTTGAGTGGCTATGGCGGAATGTATTTTCTAATTTCCAGACGGAAGTGGTGTAGTGGCAAGTGGCGTATACCAGAACACGGTAAGACAGTTGAAGCCGGGATCGTACGCCACTGACACCATCCGAGCTTTCGATTCTCCGGATTCTTTATTCGGTACCAGACTTTCCAAGAAGGATAAAGACTTATTCGTATATCAGTTGACCGCTGCGAGTCATTTTATAGGATCACATTCAAAATGCCACCACAAATCCAAGGCGAAAGTAGGGTGCGTGGCGTAACACAGAAAGAATTTATGGACGTTGAGTGCCAAATATTTTATTCCTCCGTGACAGCTTTTATCATAAAAAAAACTAAGGGAATATGGGGTTCAAAAAACCTTCGCAAAGATTCAGCATTGAAGAACATTCATATATTATATATTCGAATAAAAAAACGACAATCATTGACTTGAGAGGTTTTTCTATCAATGATTGTCTGGTCGTTGGCGTCAAATGGCCCTGTGGGTGGTTCTTTCGTTTATCGAAAGCCTTGCATCCGTGTGTGTAGTGAATCACAGTTTCGATTACGCACTGCCTAGCGATGAAAAATGATCACATACAAAACTTTTCTTTATAGGAAACCTACAAAAAATACATTTTTGCTGAAATGAGATATTAAATTGTAAAATAAGACACTGCAATGTTTGCATGAGTCACTACAGAATGTTTAAGAGGAAATGGATTTTCTATCATTCCTCGTATACGAAATGCTGTCTGTAAGTCGTTCTGTGTGAGTTTGTCACAAAATTCAGTATTATTTTGAAAATAACCCAGAGATGGGGCAATCTTGGGTGAGGCGAAGACGAAAGAAACGTGGTAAAAGATGTAGAGATCAGGGAACTAAGAGGGATCGGGCACTTCGAACACTTTGAGTCAGACATTTACAGATGTGGGCGGAGCCAAAATTCAAAATCAGCAAGATGGTTCGAAAAGTGACTGACAAGGGAGGTCGTTCAGGGTGTGGGAAGCTTTTTCAAAACGGTTTTTTGCATGCTGTAGGGACTCTCACGTAGACCACAATACTGCGTTTCGTTTTCGCTGAGCGGCCCCCTGAAGGCCAAAAAATGGTCGAAAAAATTCGTTAAGAAGGGGTGGTTTTTGCTGCCTTGGAGTGAAGTTTCGGACCTGTACAAACGACCACCTGCATTTTGAAGGGCGCCGATGAAGATAATATCGAAAACAACTCGAAATTCGCTCAAAATTGAAGCACTGTACGTGGTACTGCTGAAGAAAGTGTAGAGGTTTCATAGGCGTCGTCGGCACACACATCGCAGCGAGCAGGTGGCCGAGTGGATAGCGTGGTGGACTGGGGTTGGCACGACTTTGTGGATCGAGTCCGCTCCTGGGCTAACTTTTGCATTTTTGATAATCACCTCCAAATTGGCGCCAAATTGCTTCAGCGTCAAAATTAACGCTATATTCTCATTCAGGACCGTCAGTAGCCCTTGCAAATGGGTTTTCTACCAAAAATTGGCGGAAAAAGTTCGCAGCGCCAAACTGGCGCCAAATGGCGCCGACGTCAAAAACGAACGCCATAATCGTGTTCAGGACCCTGATCTACCCTCACATGCCAAATTTCAGGAAAAATCGAGGTTTTGACCTAACTTCGAAATAGTTGGGCAACCGTTGGTTACACAGCACCTCACTTATTCTGAATGACCATTTCAAGGATAACTTCTCGTCCTCCTTCCCAGACAATGATAAACCTTTCTTCCGAGTAAATTCCAAGTTCTTACATGGATCGTCAGCTAGACGCAGGGCTATTTACAAGCCGCTCACAGGACTACGTATCTTGGTTCCAGCGTACCCATGGCCATACGCCTTTTTCGATGATGAGGTCAAAACCTCGATTTCGCCATAATTTTGTCCCCTGGGGTAATTCGACTCCCTGAACACGAATATCATCCTCATTTAACACGAAAACGCCTGGCGGATGCTACAGGCACTAATGCGCTGCGATGTGTAGGGTGCCGACGACGCCTATGAAACCTCTACACTTTCTTCAGCAGTACCACGTACAGTGCTTCAATTTTGAGCGAATTTCGAGTTGTTTTCGATATTATCTTCATCGGCGCCCTTCAAAATGCAGGTGGTCGTTTGTACAGGTCCGAAACTTCACTCCAAGGCAGCAAAAACCACCCCTTCTTAACGAATTTTTTTCGACCATTTTTTGGCCTTCAGGGGGCCGCTCAGCGAAAACGAAACGCAGTATTGTGGTCTACGTGAGAGTCCCTACAGCATGCAAAAAACCGTTTTGAAAAAGCTTCCCACACCCTGAACGACCTCCCTTGTGAGGCCCGGGAAAAGTGGATAAGTAACTAGCAAAGAAAAAAAAATTAATTTTGTGGTGGGCGAGACGTGCAAAGAGGCGCATGTATCAAAATTGCAAGTTTTGATTTTCTTGTTCAAAATAGCTGGAACGCTGTATGATGCAACGTTAGGGCGCCGAACGAAACCAGTGGGAAATAATAGGATTAATACCTTATCGCTTTTTCAGAATCAAGCGCCACATAAATATTGACTGATAACAAGAGGACAAAGAATTACTGCGTAAGACAAAACAGCACTAGAATATAAGTTTGCAAGCAGAAGTGATATTTTCAGGGGAGCAAGTAGCCAACTTTCAGTCTCGATTAACTATTACATTATTCTGCTTGCTCACATTTACTTCTTTCACACTCCTTCTCCTAACAAGAGAGGTCCCCCAGATGCAGAGCTCTTTTTCAAACAGTTTTTCATGCTGAGGGGCTATCACGTGAGCTGCAAAACTGATGTTCATTTGCCCTGAACTCCCCCCCCCCCTGAAAGCCAAAAAAGTATAGTAGAAAAAAAATTGCGAGGAGTGGGTGGTGTTTATCGGATCTCGTAGAAATCGAACTCCAAGGCTACACGTACTGTTGGTGCTGACGCTATTTGGAGCGTTTGAGAGCTCCAACCTAGAGCGCAAAAATTTTGTAATCACGGGGATTGAACCCTGGACCATTTCCTTACCACTTTTTGGCCTTCACGGGGCCGCTCAGCGAAAATGAACCTCAGCTTTGAAACTTACCCATGACCTCCAATAAGTGGTAGAGAAGCGTTTTTGAAAAAACGTTCCATACCTTGAAAGACCTTAATTGAAGCTTTGCCCAGCGACTAAACATCGTCTTATAGGTCCCCTTAGTGACAATACGTGTGGGCCTTAAATATTATATTAGTCAAATTTGTTAGGGATAAATTCGAACGGAGAGTTAGGAAACGCTAACTCAAAGTTCGGACTGAGGGCTCATGGCTTAATCACGTAAACCCCACCACGATAGACATTCGGCAATGTTCGCTTGAAGTACATATCTAGTAGCATGTGACCAAATTAGGGAAAGTTATTCAGAGTAGGTGAGACATTTTG